TTATTATTATTATTATTATTATTATTATTAATGTTATTATGATGTGGTTAATCTTTGGTGAGATTCACAGCCTTTGGGGCTGGTTGGGAGCTCAACAGCTCCAGTCCTAACCAAGGACCTAGGAACTGTTAAGGTAACGTCGGAGGATATAAGCTGTTCCAAGTAGGGCGGTTTTTTGTAGAGTCAGAATGTTCAAGTCAGGTAAATTTAGAATTTTAAAATAGCGAAGTAGCCCTTTAGCTATTGTTCCAAGGGCTTGGTTTCCATACCAGGAGTCTAACCCGGGCCGCCTGGGTGAAAACCAGGAATCCTATTATTATATTTTCCAATGTTAATTTGGGATTAATAACCTCTGCACAATCAGAGATTAAAAACTGAAGCAAGTTCAAAGCGTTGACACAACCTTGGATAAATCTGGGACTTTCAGTTCTTCTCTGAATCACAGGATCCTCTAGTGCTCATTTAACTGAACAGCATTCACAGTTCTCCCATTGAAAGGCAAGGCTAAGGCTATTCCCAGACTGTTAACTGGAATACTCAGAGACTCCTGGTTTGTTCAGCAGCTGCCTTTTGATAATAAAATGGAGAATATCACTGCCCACAGATTGCCCTTTGCTTTATGGCAACAGCCACCTGACAGAAAATCCAAAATAAAGGGATTTGCTTTCATTTTATTTCTGCAAAATTCACCAGAGCTCCATTTCTCAGTTCAAAAACCGATCACGCCACACTGACTACCTACATAGTAGCCTCACAGTTTATACCTTGCTGGCCTCTTCATGCTTTTCAAAACTCACGAAGCCAAAACCTTTGGATTTCCCAGCTGGGTCAGTCATCACTTTAACACTGAGGGTCTTACCTGTTGTTGGAAGAATAAGGTTAGCAAATATTACCTGAAGCAAAATTAAAGGAGAGCTTTTCAGAAGAAAACTATTACTGAATAGATCACTATATTACTGAACTAGTCCACATCAGGATATCCATCTGCCCATTGTCTGGAATACTAGATGCAGTGCACTGACTCTTTTTCCCTTAGTTACTTCCAAGCTGAACAGAATGATATACTCTCTTAATGTTGCCAAATTCTGCTTAAAAGCTGGCAGAATTCATTAAAATCTTGCCAAAGTTTGACATAATTTTCTCTTTATTTGCCTTTAATCTATTTTATTTTGTTAATCGTATTTTAGTAGTGTTATTCTGCTCTTGTCCCAAAGATGCTTTTCCAGGAGGCAACTGGATTTTCTTATTTTTTTCTTTTGAAGACATTTGGCACCAAGTGAGAAATCGAATAGGTTCCTGACCAATCTAGCTGACAACTTTGTTGTCCAAAAGGTAGAGGGGGGAACTAGAGGCACAGCCATACTGGACTTAATTATTAGAAACAGCGAAGAAGTGATAGAGGGGATGGAAACCGCAGGAACCTTGGGTGAAAGTGACCATGTCATACTAAAATTCAACATAGAACACAATGATACTGGAATCCTAGGTTTTAAAAGAGCTGATTTTTAACAAACTCAGAGAGAACTTGGGAAAGAAATCCAAGAAGAAACCAGCATGGCTGCATCAAGATCTCTCTGACAAACTGAAAGTAAAAAAAGTAGAAAGAAGTACACATAACTATGGCAGAATATCAGCAGATAGCCAGAATCTGCAAAGATGAAGTCAGGAAAGCAAAGGCTTAAAATGAACAAAGAATTGCAACAAAAGTCAAAGATAATTTAAAAAAAGTTTCTTCCAATATATAAATAACAAGAAAAAAATCAAGGAAACAGTTGGTCCACTAAAGAGAGAAGATGACAAAGAAGTAACAGGCAGCAGAGAGAAAGCAGAGCTGCTTAACTCATTCTTTCCATCGGTTTTCACACAAAAAGCCTCAACGATTCTCTAAAACAGTGGTTCTCAACCTTCCCAATGCCGCGATCCTTTAATACAGTTCCTCATGTTGTGGTGACCCCCAAC